CTGTGCACTCCACATAGGGGCTGAAAGGCAAGTCTTCAAATTTGTTCGGTACAAAGGGGGAGCCCTGCTGTTGATCTGTCAGGGGACCACCCCATTCCTGGGCCAGGACCTGCAATTGTGCCATGCCTGTCCCAATGCTCAGCTGAGCATCTGGATGCGGCACAGGGAAGCTTCAGGATCCAAGATACAGCCACCCTCATTCCTTTGTCTGATCCCCAGAATTGTCAGGGTACAACCCCAGTCCTGATTCAGGAACCAGGACTGTTCTGTGCCTCATATCCATCCTCAGCTATGCATAGGGATGAAATACAGGGCAGGCCCAGAGTCCAGGACAATCCCCAGGACTGGACTGGGGGAATTGCAATCAGACATGGGACAATCACTGGTCTAAAAACCATGTGTGCAGCCAAGCTGGGCTGCACATGTTGTATAAAAGTCCTGGGCACCAAGAAGGTGACATCATGAAGGGGTCAATTGCCAGGTGCCCCAAGCTTTTTAAAAACCACATATGCAGCCTAGTTGAGCTCTACACCTTCAGTGTTTAAAAGCCCAGGGTGTGGGAACCCAAGAGACTGTCCCAGATCACAGGGTCCTGGCACCCCAGGATTTTAAAAATCATGCATGCACCCCAGTTGCCATGCCACAAATGACATGGTACAACAGACAGTTTTTATGATAGGACATAACATTCCTCATATCCCAATCACGCCATTATTTTAATATCTGCCAGGATCAGCCTGGTGTTTAAATAAATACTAAACACAGATTTATTTTAAGTTAGTTTCAATTCCTCCATATTTTATCACATAATTTGTTGTATCGCGAACTATGTTATCAATGGTCATATAGCTTGAATATGGGCTGAAACTTGGAGAATTACAGGTGATAATATCAATAGTAATATGGTATAATATGTGTGTTTCTTTTTTCACTGGAAAAAATTGTTAACAAGCAAGCATATAAATATTCAGCCAAAAGGGGCTTAAAGTAAATTATTTCCTTACTGTTCGAAATGTGCATCTCTTCCTAACTTGTAAGCAATTAATGTATTATCTCTGGGCTTATGAAATAACTTTGTTAAATGGTCAGTGTGATTATACTTTGTTTTAAAGCAAATAACAGAATTAAAATACAAATGGAATTATTTTGCAAAGACTCTTGTTGATTGTCTTTATATTTGTGAGTTTACTTATACACAGATATAAAATGGCTTATATTTACTTATACACACTGCATAATGTTGCAATGTTTGCAAGATTAGGCTCTTAGTTTGATTTCAGAAATATATTTAATATAAGGTGGATCTTTTTGTATATATATGGTCTTCTAGTAAAATGGAGTTAAAATGATTGTCCATACAACAAACCTGTATAATTTTATTTACCTTTAGTATAACACAGATTGCACTTTTTCCATCAGTTTCGATTCCTATCTTCCTTTTTCAACTGTTGCTGGAAAATCTATTTTATATGCTTTGTTTTAGTGTTTTAGACTTTTATACGGAAATACTAGGCTTATAGGAAAAATGAATAGGAGTTTCTTAAACTGATGCTGTAGGAAGCTCCAGGGACAAACATAATGGAATAACATATGTTTTGACAATCTATTATCTGTTTGCTATTGGCCAAAGCAAATGATCTTTTGGTATATTTGTTAAAAACTGGTTTTAACAGCACTAAGAGTGCCAAATGTGCTCTGTCAGCAGATGTGACATTAATGCTAAATCAGTTTTCTCAGTAGCATTTTTTTATTACTCTATTCACTTTTTAAAATAATGTTTTGCTGTCCTTTAACACATAATTTCTCTCTCTATCACAGAAAACACTACAATTAATTACATCCATGTAATGAAACAAATCAAAATACAGTTCAAAACAGGATATATTAATATAAAATTCAATAAATGGTAAAAGGTGAATTTTAAACTAAGGCTTCACCATAAATGTAAAAAACAAAGAAAGTAGGCTGTTATTAATCACAGCAGTAAAACAAAGGGATCCAGTTTACATTCCATTAATATTTGTTGCTGGGTAAGTGTCCCCCAAATGGTATCTTGGATTATCATTCTTACTGCAGTTTCTTTAACAAATGAGCTCAGTTGGGAAGTAAAACTTCAACCTGCCAAGTCTGCGGACTTGACCTGAGAGCTTACAGTCAAGATTGGTTCTTACTCACTGTTAATAAACCGTTTACAGATTCCCTATTCTTGCATATGTATACAATACAAGTAGCTCTGTAAGCATGGCTGCAGAAGGCAGATTGATTAGAATTTAATTTTTAAGATATTAAGTGCACAGAAAAAATTCTTATTCAAGAAAAGAGAAAAATGTTTAAATGGCAATTTGATTTTTGTTTTTGAATGGTGGCTGCATTTAAGCTTGAAGCAGTTTGCAGTATGAGAATAAATCCCAAGGGAGATGGACTAGTGGGCAGAGGGCAGAAGAAGCAGTTACAAGCGCATGATAAATTTATTTGTCACATACCTCTGCAATTTATCTCAGTGATGTTTCCGGAACACATGCAACCGATATCAAGTGGGTTGAGGAAAAGCCTAAAATTCTTTGTTCTTGAGATTAAACAATATATGGAAAAGATCAATGAAGGCATATCAGCTAGTAAAAAAAGATGACATAGAATCTGATCTGGATTTCATAAATAAAACATACTGGGCACGTCTGCAAATGCACCCAACTGTGCAGTTGTTACTACGCAGTCATTTAGTACCTGCTAAAGCTGGTACTGCACAGTAACCTACAGTAACCACCGGTACTTTCCAGTCCTGGCACTGCACAGGTTATTTCCAACCCTACTGCGCAGTAGGGGCAAGATCATAGTTCATACCCACTGATGCTACATCGCCATAATTCGTTGCTGTGGTGATGTTGAGTCTCGTGTAGATGCGCCCACTGAACGATATTCATATCAAGTACTGGGGGGAAGGAACCTAATATTCAAGAGTTCTTGCTTTTGAAGAGTGAAAAATAAGCTGAAATTATCAAAATAATTGCTTCCAAAAAGTTTGGTAAAAATGGAAGCAGGATGTTGATTCAAAATTGTATATAGTCTTACAAATAAAAAGGAGATTTAAAGTCAGAAAAGTATTTGACTGGTATCCAAGGCAACCTTTTCGAAATAACTTACATACGAGCCTGTCGTCTCCTTTTCATAAAGAACCTGGCAGCCCCTGTTATTCACCATTTTAGGGTTATACAAAGTCTTATTAAACAAGCTAGACAATAAAGAATTACTGTAATCCTATCTTAAGGTATCCAGAGCTGGGAGACCCATCTCAAGTTCTTACAGAGTAAAAAATGAAAGCAAGCTAGTAACATTCCATAAATGGAAGATGTTCTAGTTACATAAATTAGAAGTTTTCAGAAGGGGAGCTAGGATCAAAATGAACCCCCATATAAGTGGTAAGTAAGGGCAATCAGAGTGGCTGTCCCGTGTGATAGAAACCAAATCCTTAGAGGTATTTACTTACTGTCATGAGAGCATGTATCTTTATCACTTGTCTAAATGTGGTATAAGAAAACATGGTGGAAAAGGTCAAGGAAGGATGAGAAAAGTTACAGACTTTCTGATTTTAAAATATTAATCTACGCTTGGGTTTTAGAAAATAAGATAATTCAGCAGCAAAGTGCTAAAGACCCCCTGAAGCTCCTGCTTCTGCCATTCTTATTCACTCTGAGTAAAAGTAGTGTGAAAGAGATATTATAGCCATGATAGAATTATGTGAGGGGTAAGGATATCTTTTATTGAACCAACTGCATGGTTGTAATAAAGTTAGACAAGTTTTTGAATGCAAGACATTCTTCATCAGATCTGATGATCACTCTGGCCCCATCTATTAAGGTGAGATGATCCAGTAATCACATCTTAAATTGTGCCCTAGGCTTTTCATTCCATCCAGGAAGAGCACACACCAACTGCAGAAACTTCCTTAGCCTGACGAAGGGTTTTTGAACTCGAAAGCTTGCTTAATAACTATTCTCCAACTATTTGGGTTGGTCTAATAAAAGATATCAAATTCACCCAAGGAACCTTGTCTGCCTATGTCCTTAGACCAACACGGCTACAACCTACACCCCTGCAAGGAATAAGCTATATATTTATTCTTACCATGCTATGAATTGAGTGTTTGGCCAGGTGCTCTCATGTGGCTGGGAGCCCCATCAGCTAACGGGGCTCTCTGCTGCAGGGGTGTACCACTCGCTGCCCCAGCTGCAAGCCTCATCAGCTGCAGGGCTTCAGACATGGGAGCTTGCTACCTGTCAGTGCAGGGAAACTATCGGATCCCAGGTTCCCCCTGCACCAGCAATAAGGTGTGATTGGATCAGATGTTGGATCCCACAGCCAGGCTTCCTGCCGTGCTCATATGGCATGGCAGAAGGTGAGATTGTGTGGATCGCATACAAGATCTTATCACACCTTTACCTGAAAGTCTAGAGGGGCCTTCTGAGTAACACTTACTTTGGAAATGCTATCCTCAGGCCACAGATAAGTGAGACTGCTTGAGAGAATAAATGTTCAAGGTGTTTATATTTTGGCTATTGATTATGACTGTTTACTGGCTTAATACTCTGGATCAATAAGTGCAACAGAAATACAAAACAGGATGTAAATTGTTAATGGTTTGAAAAAGCAAACAATACTCTCTCTGCCTGTTATGTTTAACTGAAAAGTAACTTAAACTAGTTTTCTGGGGTTTGACTTGCTTTACTAGCTCTTATTTGTTCATTTTTCTTGGGGTAAAATAAGAATTAGCGAGCAGGATCAGAACATCTCACTACAAATATTTATTAATTGTGGATTAATGTATAGAAACTAATTCAAGATAGCAGCTCCAAAACTGGAATGGTATTGCAGGTGGCTATTTTGATATATGACGTGAAAAAAGTTGAAACAGCATGCAAGACAGTTTATAAGAGACTTTAAAAAAGTTATCTAAACTAAACTGATTTTATCAGTGCACTATTTGACTTTACTCATTCATACAGGCTGCCTTAGAGAGGGAATGGCTAACTTTAGATTCCACCCGCTTCCCTTCAAAAACACTGCTGCTCTCAAACCAGCTGCACTGGCCAAAGGTAACATGTCACGGAAACTTCTTAGTCTTCAGTCTTTGTTCATTCCTTAAGGATATGCTGCTCTGGGGTGATTAATACTGCAATTTATTGACTTGAAAAACACAATTACTTTTAGAAGCCTCTGACTTCCTCCTCATCCCCAGATGTAATTTTTCATGTAGCTTTTCTTTCATTTACTTAATTCTTTTTCTTTATTTTGGATTTCTTTCAACACTTTACTTCACGGTAGCAAAAAAAAATGATGATATGCTTCATCTGCACATTTGGCAATAGATTAAAAATTGTGAGTTGACACAGTACTTTAAAAATATTAAAGTCTGCATTATATAGCAACAGCTGAGGATTTTCAGAACAGCTAAAGGTCATTGAACTGTAATGTCTGCTAGTTATTTGATAAACTTTGAAGTTCTCAACTCGCTGTTTTTGTAGCATTTTTTTTATTCCTCTTTCTATATGCAAAATATTCCTAAAGATATTTTTGCTCAAAATAAAAAAGGATTTTTATAAGTACATTGATTGCCTTTTATGTTAGTTTTTGTTGAAATCATTAGATATAATTACATTTGTTTATAACCATTACATCTTTTTTTGCAATATATAGTTAAAAAAAAAGGTTGGATCTTGGGGCCAATCATAGTTGATATTGCCTATGAAATGCAGATGAAAGGCACAATTCTGAAAACCTGATGATGTTTAACAGTATTTATTGAGTAGTTCCACTGAAGTCCATGAGACTACTCAACACCAAAGTTACAAGGCTATTAACTCACACTTTCGTTTCTCTTTCTTGCAAGTATCCTAAGTCTCTGTGTTCTGATGGAAATTCACATAATTTGCCCTGGCCTCCATACAAAGCCTGGCAGTGTGATAAGAGAGTATATTCAGTCTACCCAAAAAGCAGCCAGCTTAGCAGCAGGTAAGTCATATAATTTGTTTTTTTCCATTATTGATTGTAGTTCATTATGACCTGACAAGAACCAAAATAGGCCCTGGAAGAATAACTAAGACTCTTCTTTGATGCTTTTGCAGATGTTTTATTGTTAAGTCACATGATTATTGAAGTTTAAGTAAAAGCATTTGTCATCAAAACTGAACAAAACAATTACAGTATATTGGCTATGCAATAATTTAGCATTTGTCAATTTAATTATTAAGTATTAGAGTTGAGTATAACAGTATACAAATATATAAGAGTTTTGTGATTCATTACACTTTAAAAAGAAAAAAAGCTATCTTGTAACATGTAGACCTTTTAAAATTCAGATTTCTAAGAACAGATAAGGATTTAAAAGGATTTCTTACACATCTGAATTCCTTTGGAGAGAGAGGGCTAAAATATGCTTCAAGTAATTGAAATGTAAACATCTTAAATCAATGGCAGATGCATATTACTGTCCAGGATAACCCCTTCCTGACTATAAAAATAGGTTTATTTGGGGGTTTTTTGGTTTTGTTTTTTTATTTGTTTCTGAGATTCAGAAGGTACCAAAAAAGTTTCAGAGTAGCAACATTTGGAAAGTTCTTATTTCATCTTTTCAATGTGTGGTCAGTGTTCAGTTCTGTTATCCTATTCTACTGTCAGGTTGAAGAAGAGATCTGTATCACCATTCTCTGACCTGAAGGATAAAGAGCAATTTTCATTCAAATCAGGAAAAGAAGAGAAAATTTCAGAAGAATGGTATGTTGTCTTACTTACTTTTTAACACAAGTCCATCACCCAGGCATTAGAGGTCTAAAGGCTTTTAAAAGGCACCCTCTTTATTAAGAAAATAATTTTTATTTTTGATTGTCAGATACCACTTTAAACCTTTTTACCAGCATTAGAGATATCAGGTCAATTGACTGTAATTTCTTAATATTTTCAGATGAGCAACATGTAGTATGTTTTTACACTATTGTATGACTTGTGTAAAGTGTGTGTGAGAGAATAAAGGGTAGTAGATAAATGTGAAATTGATGATAAACTGTCACCTTCTCATAGGGGTTTTAAGGATATTTCCACTGCACAGCTAATGCTGAAGAGAGCACATAAAATGAAACGCAAGAGATCTAGTCATAAAACTCTAGGTAAGCCAATTGTCCTGCTACAATGTGAATGAAGTGTAGAGGATAACAACTGCATAATCTGACATCTGAAAATAGGATGGCTCTTCTAGAAATTTTTCTTGAATTTTATAAGATAACACTAGATATTAATATGGGTAAATGAGGAATGTAGCTCAGGAATAAAGAACTCATAGATTAAATCTTTAGAAAAGGATATATGTTGTAAGAAATATTTTAATAATTTGTGAAATACTTTAGTGAATCTTAAAAAGTATTTTTGATATGTTTTAAGTGGGAACTTTTCTTTGTTTCATGTGTTTCCTTTCCTGGGTAAGAAGTTTGTAATTTTTCATTTTGTAGTGCTTCTGTTTGCCCCAAGGTAACCACAAGTTGTTATAGTGTGGCTGAATCAGTGAGGGGTTATTTTCATTTGGTGTCAATCTGCTCTAAAAACAAAAAATATGTCTGCAGCATGTGATCATCTCTGTTATCTATTACCTCCATTAGCTGATTATGTTGAGTGCTATTTGTATGCAATTCTTGACTCCTCCAGTGCCATTTGTGAAGGTTTCACAGTTTGCCATTGTGGAATCATATCATAGTTTGGCATTCACTGGTCTTTTAGAAACTGGCATTACTCAGATGCGCCCCCTTCCTCCCCCTCCCCCAGGTGACTCATGCTAAAATCCTCCTTTGCTCCATGCAAACTTGCTCATACTCCACAGCTGTCAATTCCAGGAAAGGATGAAATATCATAATGTATGATTGACACAAGTTATAACTAATCTTAAGTTCATTAGTCACGGTAAGCTGTCAGTCATTAGAAATCTTTCCATCAGTAATACTTACCTCTTTGGTAACATATATGAAGACTTCAGTTGTGGCTAATATGCATTTTCCATTGGCATATAACATTGGAAATCCCTGTTTTTCACTTAGTAATATTAAAATATTGTTTAAGGTCATTTTGTATTTCATGGGGCAGTGTAGTACAGAGAGAGAAGTTTTCAGTGTATGTTTTCCAAATTTGAACAATCAGCACTTAAGACTAATTGTGGCAAAGAAGAAATCTAGCTTCATGCAGTAAGTAACATGTAGTTAACAAACTGTCCTCTTTTGTTATGGATAAGGAATAAACAACAGACAGGAGGTTAAAACAATCATCTTTAAACTGCCAGTAACTCTTTATAGTTTCCCACCCTACCCTACCACACTACCCAGGAACAAAACCATCAGTATCTGGTGTGCAGCTGAATTTTTGACATGTGTTCCACTTGGTGGCCTATGTATCATTTTTAATTAACAGGACCTACTAGGTTATATCATCTTTTCTCCATATGTTGTCTGGTTTATGTTAGTAGTAATTAATGCAGTCATAAACGGTTGCTTGTTTAAGCATATCAAATTCGCCTAGCCTAGGGTATTTTGTTGTTCTAATGGAATTTTTGGATGCTTTTTCATTCATTTTGCTGTGATGAGTGGAGGGTGGCTGTTTGTATGTTTGTTTGTTTGTTTCTAAACCATGCTTTTAGGAAAATTATCAAAGCATATTATTGGTGTTTAAAAAAAAAAAAGGAAAAACCTACACATTGTCACAACATCATTATAGATGCAAGCTACCTCTTCCAAGTAGTACCCAAAAAAAACACTTTTCCCTTTTCAATTACTACATCAGGCCCAAGCCTGCATATACAATTGCTCTATACAAAGTGTCCTGAGAATCAACAAATTCCCCTTATTTTTCAAACCAACAGAATGCATGAACAAATAACCTACTTACTGAAAATGCTGCACCCCCTCTTTGTGTGTTTGCTTTTATTCCACTCATTGGGCATGTCTATATGTGCATTTAAGAGTGCCTAAATTTAATGTGTATTAGCTTAATGCACATTAAGTGGGTTTAGGCAGGCATCTACATGTGCAGGCGTTAAAGCACATTAATGCTATGTGTGAACTGACTTGGGACTGAAGGACTTCTATACACATGTGAGACGCCTGCTCCAATGCACTGGAAATCCAACGCGTCAGAGTAGACTCTATTAATGAAGTTTGCTGGAGCATGGAAAGTGACGTGCTCCAGCAGCCTCGCCCATCACGTGTATTAGCATCACTGTGTGTCTCTGCACTGACAAAATGGTGGTGGGGCATATTGAAATAAAATAAATCTGATGAGCTTTAGATCAAAGTGCCTCATCGCCATTTTTTCAGTGCGGGGACACATGGCAGCACTGATGCATGTGACACATAGGTGCTTTTACTTAGCACAGCTTGCTAATTAAACGTGCCCAGTGCTGCATCCCAGCACATAAAGTGTCCAAAGTTAGTCCCAAGTCAGTTGACACATACAATGTTAATGTGCTTTAATGCATTTACATATGCATTAATGCACTTTAACTAATTCATGCCTGAATTTGATACCTGCATTTTTAGGTATCAAATTTAGGCACGAATAGCCTAAACTGGCCATTTTTAATGCACATTAAGGGTGCACACATGTAGATGCACACCCGTAATGCACATTAAAGCATCATGTGCAGACACAACCATACAGTACAACACAATGAGAGAGATGTACTAGAAAGCAAGATCAAATTAAGCTTTATCAATTAAAAATAACATTTTCAATTATACCCTAAACTGAGTTGGAATTAATGCTGGCACGTAGCTCTCATTTGCTGCCTCTCAATGAGCAGCATTATGTAAGTAAACAAGTGGCTAAATTTTGAACTTGCCAGGCTGGATTCTCCAGATTTCCAAAGTTTCTCCAGGTTTCCATAGTGCCATCTCTGGTATGGGATTAAAAGAAAAGTCTTCTTATGGATTGTAGTCAGGTTAAAAGGCAAGGAAAAAACAAGAAGTGTAAGGAGGTGTTCAGCCTTCAAAGGCTGCAACCTAGTGATTGGTGTTTGGCAGATAGCAGTCTGCCTAGCTGCAAGACTGGGGGTTAACCTGTACTAACAACTATTAAATGAGGATGAAGTCACAAAGAAGGTTAAAATCCCCAGGAGCAGAGTGCAAGGGAAGAGGAGGGAGAAGCATGGAGCCTGGGTTGCCCCCACCCAAGATGTGAAGAAAAACAAAACCAAAATCTGCTGTCTATTGATTTGTTGTTGGTATGCTTGCTTGTTCTGTTGTTTTGTTTACTGTAGGAACAAGGTTTCCCTGTGTAAACAGGCTGGAAACCCTGAGCACAGAACTTGATAAGGGAGCTGGGTGAGTGACCATCTTGCAGTAGACCTGAATAGTAATTTTTCACACTGGAGGAAGGTAAATATTGGGGTCCACCAAGGATCTGTCCTGAGGCCTGTGTTGTTCAAATTCTAGTATTATAAAAGTCTTTTTCTGTCTGTCCATAATGCTTTATTTGCACTCTGATTGGCTGTCTTGGCAGCCAATCATAGTACCCTACACAAACAGGGACAGACAGCAGCTCACAGGACAGACGAAGGCGGTAGAGCACCGCCATGATAGTGGGGACTGAGGGGCCTGGGGTGGGGATTGAGGCCAGCAGAGCTGGCCTCACCCCTCTCCCTTGATCCTTGGAGGCAGAGAGGGACAGCAGGGACCAGAGCCCTGCCATAATGGATGCCATAAAGAGTCTGCTCCTTAGAGCCAGGGACCAGTGCCCCCTCCCTCCCTAGAAGAGCTGGGAGGGAGGGGAGGTGGTGGGGAACAGGGGAGGGAGGGGAGCGAAGAGGGGGGGTTACTGGTGACTGCGCCCCACCACCACCCCGGCCCTGGCCTGAAGCGACGGGGGGAGGGGGGATGGCCCCAGTCCAAGTCCCGGCCCTGGTCCGAAGTGGCGGGGGGAACGGCCCCAGTCCAGGCCCTGGCCCTGGCCTGAAGCAGCAGAGGGAAGGCGGGAATGGCCCCAGCCCAGTCCCCAGCCCAAAGTGGCGGGGGAGGGAGGGGGAGAACAGCCCCAGCCCAGGCCCTGGCCCAAAGCAGCAGGGGGGATGAGGGGGGGGGCGGGAATGGCCCTGGCCCTGGCCCCATTCTGAAGCAGTAGGAAGGAGGGGAGAATGGTCCCGGCCACAGCCCAAAGAGGTGGGGGGAGGCAGGGAGTGGCCCCAGCTCGAGGCAGGGGGGGTTGGACCCAGACCTTTCTCCCTGCCCGCTCCCCCAAAGCCCCCTTGACAGGCAATTTCCTTATATATTCACAAAGGAGTAAAGAGTTAGCAAATTTTGAAGATAATGTGACAGAATAAGGAGCAATGGTCTCATGTTGCAGCAAGAGAAATGTAAGCTAGATATTAGGAAGCATTTTCTCACTAGGACGGTAGTAAAATACTGGAACAGGCTACCCAGAGAGGTGACAGAATCCCCATCTTTGGGGGTTTTCAAAACCCAGCTAGACAAAGCCTGTGGCTGGGATGATCTAGCTTGGGATGGTTCAACTTTGAGCAGAGGGTTGGACTAAGTGACCTCCTGAGGTCCCTTCCAACCCTAACTTTCTATGATTCTAATACAGTATTATTCAAGATAATCTATTTCATAGCTGCTGGTGAACAGTGGGGGAAAAGAAAAGATCTCAGAGTACTGAGTGTGTGGGCAGCGAAATGGAAAGAAAAAGCCTGAAGTAATTCATATTGGGGGTGGGTAATAACCCTAATTATACAATGTAAGAGTGATGTGGTAGCTGCGATGGTCCAAAAATTTTGAGAAGCCAGGATTTCTTAGGGAGCTCTCTTTTACTGGACCTACTATGTAGTTGGGATACAGTTAGAAAACCTTTCAAATGCAAGACAGTCTTCTTCAAATCACATAGTTGCCATTTAGTTCATTTTTTGCATCTAATGAATTATGCTGTTGCCTACAAAAGTGGCTCATGCCACTCAACCAATTCATCTTTACAGTGCTGCCCTTCCCTACCTTTTACCTTGATACTAACACAGCTAACCACCTTTGCATACAACAAACAATTTTGTTGACAACGAGTATTGTGGATATCAGTAATATAACTGTGTTCAGATAGGGAGTGGATGCATTTATGGAGGACGGGTCCATTAGCAGCTATTACA